ACACAGACGAACAACCATCCGCACTCACACCGAGGGACAATTGAGAGTGGTCCATTAACCTGCCACGCATGCTTTTGGAATGTGGGAGGAAACCGGAGCACCCGGAGAAAGCCTATACAGGCACAGGGGAAAAATGCAAACTCCACAGAGGAAGGCCGGAGCCGGAATCGAACCCTGCACCTCTGCACTGTAAGGCCGACACGCTAACCAGTCGACCACCAGGCCGCCCTGATTCATATCACTACAGTCTATATTTGTGTGTGTTACTTGCAGGGCATAGGGACTGGGCCAGTCCATAAAAAGCAAAACTGTGTGTAATTGACACCCATTAAAATGCATGTACTGTATTTACACTGTATATATTTAGGGATAGACAGACAGAGCTGGATGAATGGATGGAGCGAATGGGTGGATTGATTCATTGATTGATTGATTGAAGGCCAATGCTTGAGACAGAGGGGGCATTGCAAAAAAACAAACACAAAAACTCTAAAAATAAGTAGAATTTCCTTTAATGTGGTCAAATGTTCTTTTATTAAACAAAAAAAATACATTTTGCTTGGCGAGTACATTCTTCTTAAAACTGGGCTATAAGTCAGGGGTGTCCAAAGTTTGTCCTCAAGGGCCGATGTCCTGCCTGTTTTCCATGTCTCCCTGCTGCAACACACCTGATTCAAATGATCACGATCGTTATCTTGCTTCTTCACCTTGCTGATGAGCTGATCTTTTAGTTTCAATGGATAGTAGTTTCTTTTAGATCCTTCAGTTTGAATAGGAATCATGTGGAGTATATGGGTCTCCTAAATACTTGTGATAGCCGAAACCAAGTTAGGTAAAAATAATTGCATCCAAATGCATTTCATGTGCCCCCTGAAGACTGAGGACTGATGATGGTCTGAGAAGGATATACAGTGATCCCTCGCTGTATCACGCTTCATTTATCGCGGCTTCATTACTTAGTTTGTTTTTTTTTTCCGAAGTACTGTATACAGAAAAAAAATGCCGAATGACTCAGAGGTTTTGTACATGCCTGTTGGTTCCCGGCGCAATGTCGACCAATGACAGCACGAGCGGATTTATCCCATGAGTTGATTGGCTGCGCATCTTCGCAGCCCCACCCAGCACCTTCCCTTGTGCCTCGTCATGCTGTTAACTCTCGTTCGCCTGCTTATCTCTGGCATACTTTCTTCTGTTGTGTTTGCTATGTGCGAGGGGAGAGAGAGAGAGAGAGAGAGAGAGAGAGAGAGAGAGAGAGAGAGAGCATACTTCTGTTGTGTTTGCTGTGTGCGGGGGGAGAGAGAGAGAGAGAGAGAGGGGGCGATAT